AGTGGCACCTTGATTAGAAGCCTTGGAACCACAGGTTAGACCCTCAGGAGCTGCATGCAGCCCAGGGGCTGCCAGTTAGACAACTCTTGGTTTATATTACAAACCTCTTACAGCATTTTATTTTGCAGCACAGGCATCCATAGAAGTGCCATCATGGAGGTTCCTTGGAAGGCATGTTGAATCAGCACATGTTCTCAGAGGTGTAGCTGAACTGCTCTACACCTGGGGCAGTGCCAGCTGCTGTTGTGCTGACCACAGTAGCACAAGCCAGCTGCTGCTGCTGTAACAGCTATTTTGGCCCCCTGCCCCCCCCCCCCCCAAAGATGGTGATGAAGGCTGCTGCCTCAGTTGCTTCCCTTTCAGTGACACTACTGCATGTTCTGGTAGCCTTAGCCACAGTATGGCTCTGGCTAGCCATACCCATTTTCTGTATCAGCTACCACTGAGATCTGCTGTGGAAGTTCTGGGAAGCCTGCAGAGGCTTGCACTGACTAATGTAAAATGTGAATGACTCAGGGTCATGGAATGCTGTGTTATATCTATATATGCAAGTACCAAAATCATTGCCTATTTTGCTGGATATACTATTTATAGCATGGTAAATGTCAGGGCTTATATTGCACTAACATTTTAGATGGTGTTTGCTACTAGTTTCATAATGCAAAATAGCCTGGTCAGGAGTTTGATAGACCCTTATTCAAGGCATGGACAATGTGCACAAAGCCCTGTTATAATTACAGTCTACACCCAAAGGGGAGTGAAAAGTGTGCTCTGTCTATGAATTTCACAGGGGCAGGAGTTGATGAAGACTCCTATATCTCTGCACATATTTATAGAATAAGCTCACATTTGTGTGCTCTGTGCACACCAAGCAGTTTCAGCAGAGATTTTGATTTCTTTGGGCACATCTACACAAGATGCTACTGCACAGCGGTTACTGAGCATTTTATTACTTGTATAAGCAGGTACTAAATAAACGTGCAGTAACTGGAGTTACTGCACAGTAGAGCTGGCAAATGTTTTAAGTGACGCTACTGTGTAGTAGCCTAATAATACTGCGCAGTAGCATATTAGCACTCTGTGTTCTGTGACACGCACAGTATTTTTGGCAGCACAGTCAGTGGCTCATGTAGATGCACCCTTTAAATGGAATTGCACACTGATCTTCCAATGTATGCATGAGGGTGGAGAATGTTGCATCAAACTTGTGTTCAGGATAGCATCTTAAAAATTACGATTTTTCCCCTTTAGCAGCATCAAATGTAATTGACTATTTTCCTTTGTAAGTGAATTGCAGTGTTTGTGAATAATGCCAGGCTGAAATCAGAAGAGAAGCAAAACATCTCCAGAAGCTGCTCCATCTTAGTACCCACTTGGATGGCAGTCTATCTGCCAAGTGGATCAGGAAGTATGCCAGTTAGTGCCAATTGGGACAGTAGATTTTTGCCTATTATGAATAAGACCCAGACCATTACATTTATGTTGTATTATTATCTCCTGATGGCAGTTTGGCAACTTGCATTGTTATCCTGCTGAGCAGATTCTAATCTCCTTACCAAATCACTGAGTTATCCAGCTCTCTGAACACCAGGCTAGAGTATATGAGAGATGGGTCCAAACTGTGGGATTTAAATATGAACCTGAAATTTCTGTCTAAGGATGCTTAGATCCAGTATTTATGTGGGCCCCACACCTCAAATTCTGATCTGTAATGTACAGTTCCCCCATACCAGGGCTTTTTTATAATTGCACATTGAATTAAAGCAGGTTAGAAGCTGCATGTCTAAAATATGGTATTGTTTGTATGGTATGATGAAGTATGAGCCCACTGTTTCTGATTCAGTCATATTTACATAACATGGGCATTAGTAACACATGCATCTTCTTCCTTGCAGAATTAAACCAATGTAAATTTGCATGACTCAGGGATTTCTTTCAATGCCCATGTGTAAACTCCCATTAAAGATGCTTATGCTTGGGAAGAATATACTGTTTACTATTAATGTTTAATGCATAATTCACATTGTCGGTACAAAAAGAAAATGAGTCAGTGGTTTGTTAAGACAAGTGTTAGGTAACAGCATCACCAGCCCACTCTGACAGATCCTTCACTGCATTGAGTGTGCACTGGGGTTTCCTTTTGTGGGGTTTCCATTGAGCCAACTGTTCATTTTCTTCAATGATTTCCTGGTGTTAATTCCAGCCATGAAAACCCCACTTGTTGTGTCTCCAATTCTTAGGGGTTCTTCAGTGGGAGCGGAGCTTGAAATAAATATAGTTTTGAGGACATTCTGAAGCATGCAAGGTTCAGTATACAAGGATCTTACCGCAATGTTTGCAAGATTTCATACCATTATATGATTTCATACCAGGGCTGCTCACACAGTGGTCAGGAGCCCCATTATCTTCAATGTTAATTCTTGCCTGAGTCCAAACAGCAGGATGAGGCCTGCAGTTAACACCTAAACTACCATATTTGCTCAAATATAAGACAGCCCTGAATATAAGATGACCCCCCCCAATAATTAGATATCAAAAATGTATAAATGTTATAATTTTCCAGGTATAGAATTTAATCATTGGAGGTTTGCCTTGAATTTGTCCTCCACCCACTGCCACAGCAGGGAAAATAAATCTGGGGGGTCAGGTGCCCTCCTTGTCCTCTGCTCCCCACCAGCCTCTTCTCCCTGAAGCTCCTTCCCCACACCCTTACTGTCAGATCCTGTTCTCCCTGAGCACATGGAAGTGAGAGGCAAATTTGAAAAGACTGACCTTGAAATAAAAATACCTGTAGTAATTTGCATGTAGTACCCTTGACTTAAGGTCAAATTAATCAATTCTGGATTAACTATTTTGAAATTACTGCAAGTTTTAGCACAGGTACTCCATAAACACACTTATAAGTAGTACTTTTGTACCTACTCATATATACAAGCTATGCATGACATTAGTCTAAAACCAAAAGGCTCATGATTTATCATATAATTCCTGGGCCTGGGCCCTAGCAGAGTCAACAGCATTTCAAGCCATTTTGACCCCACAGCTCAGCACTGCTCAGTATTGTGTGTACTCCAGATTACACCCCCCCCGACATTAGGATACATGTCCTAATTAGTCCCCCACTCATAACTACAACTGGATGTTCTTGTTACAAGTCCTGGGATGCTCCAAAAATTTATATGCAGATGAGGCACAGGGCAACTTGGTCCAACTCTACCTCATGGAGGGCAGGCCCACAGTAACATATGCCACAGGCTAAGAGAGGGGGTGAGAGAAGGATTCTGGGTGAGTTGTTTGGGGCTCAGTTTGGTGATATTTGCCAGACATTTAAGGCTGATAAAGAAACAGCAATCACTGGAAATTAGAAAGAAAGGCACAGCTTGGTGGTGGGAGTGCAGAGAAAGTTGAAATTTATTCAGTGTAGTGGCTCACCATGACTTGGGAAAAAAAGAGTCAGCGCTGAGAGGGACTGCACGCACCATACACCTTATTCAGATGGGCTGCACTAACCTATACTTGCGGTAGGTGAATGTAGGCCCAATATGGGCTAGTTGTTTTATAATCGTGCTTAGCATTGGCTGCATTTCATCAAATTCATAGGTAGAGTCCATGACTAAACAGATGCTGCTTTTGGCAGCAATTTAATGCTAGACAGTGTATTTAATGAATTCGGGGTTTTAAATTACTTCTCAGAACCAGAATCGTCAACACCTTCCCCCAAGCAGTGGCACGTCCTAGTGGAAGTAGGGCCTGGTGAGGCTGACAAGGGGACTCCTGCCTAGAATGCAGAATCTACCAGTTATGCCTCAGCTCACACTTATAGAAGGAAGTAGTATTTGCAGACCCTCATTATGTCTTGTGTGGGGGTACTGGAACCACTTGATCTGTATATGGATCTCTGGCAACTATCTGGCCTTGTCCCATTACAGCCCTTGGCACTAAAGCTGATCTGAAACCCTTTTCAGCATGGGAATAGTTTGTAACTGCTCTATAAAGCCTGTATCTTCAGTAGGGGGAAAATATGTGTTCTTAACTTGCATGAATTAACTCAAACTAAAATCCTAGGGAAGATAAGGCAATTATCTAACTCAAGAACACACTTTTGTTTCCCAGTGAAAACAATGACCTACAACTACCCAAGAAGTCCAAGTGAAGAGGCTAATGAAATGATTTTGAGAGATTTGCTCTGTTTTTTTTCTACCATGGGTAATTTCACTCTCTTTTGCTCATGTCCTGACCCCTTCATAACTCCTATTGGCTTTTTTTGTGCCTGTTTAAAGGGTCAACGTATTGTAGCGTACAGCTCATTTATTTTCTGTGATGCGCTGTTTCTTTTTTCTCTTTCTACATTTTTTCTCTCTCCCTCTTTCACAAATATGGTTCTAGATTTAGAGACTTGTTACTTTCTGGCAAGAAGCCAGCCTCTTCACAGGGGAGGTTTGTGGCATGAAACAATTTACAATTACTTTTGAAAAGTTTTCTGCTTACCATTAAATTACTGTATAATACTTTTTTGGTTGGAAGCTCATTTTAATTTTTGTACTGTTCCTATAAGCCAATTACGCCACATGTACCTGATTCTGATTTAACGCACGTATTTTATGCTGGCATTATTGCATGGGCTTCTGCGTGGAGTTTCTCTTGACTAAACCACAGTAAGACAAATCAGAATTGGATCCCTATTCATAAGGTGCCTTCTAAAAGCCCGATTAATTCTGTAAACCATTTTGTGCAAGTCTATTAGAAATTCCTCATTAAGGTAATATTATTGACTTTTAATGGGTGCTTCAGTTAGACACTTCTACTTTAAATGGAGCATTGTATAAATACAAATGGATCCTGAGTTTTCAAAAGGACATAACGTTCTTTTCCCCCCCTTTTGTTTCTAATAATGTACTGAAAATTCTTACAGTTAGGAGCCCAATGCTGCAAGAAAAAAAACTTGCACTGACTTCAACAGGAGTAAGAATAGGCTATAAATATAAATCACGTTTGCTTTCTTTTGTAAGTTACACAGAGATTTATTGTGAAATTGTTCATAAATACACAGCTATTTTTTTTATTCATAAATACACAAACACACAAAATACTCTCAAATTTAAGATACTGAAATACTGTGCAAAGAAATGGAAAACAAATCAAATTTTGGTCTAAATTACCTTTACAGTATCAACTGACTCCAAACGAGTCCCCTGACTTTTTTCCATATGCTGGACTACCTGTCATCGAAGGACTTGTCTTTGGCATAGT